TTTGTTTTGGTGGCGCGTTGGCCGAGCGTCGAACTTGGTTCTGGATGGAACCACACTCCCCCCGACGCGAGGGCAGCGTGTCCTGTATGTCTCTTAGGGCGATGTTCTTCTTGTGTGCGCGGTAGAGTGTTGTTTTGAGGGATTTGGTGAGGATGTCGGCGTATTGTTCGATGGATGGTATCCGCCGGATGTTCAATTTTCCCTGTTGTACTGTGTCGTGGAGATAGTGATATCTCACGTCGATGCACTTCCTCCTTTTCGTCGCGCCCATGCTCTTCGCCATTTGCACCGCTGCTGTGTTGTCCACATGCAGGGTGGGGGTGCTGGTGGGGAGTTGTATTTCGCGGATGAGGTTGTGTAGCCAGAGTGTGAGGGCCGTTGTCTCGGATGCGGCGATATACTCCACCTCGCAAGTGCTTTTTGGGACGACGGGCTGTTGCTTCGCAAGCCGCTGTACTGGTGCTCCATTGATGAGCGTTACCATGCCGCTGATTGATTTTCGGCTTGTGGCGTCGTTCGCATAGTCGGCGTCCGAGTATGCGCAGATGGTGATTGTGCGGGTTTTTCCGGCTGGCATGAGAATGCCTTCGTCTCGAGTACTGTGGAGGTACTGTGCGAGTCGTTGCAGCAGATTCCAGTGGCGCTGTGTCGGTTTCTTCAACGCGCGGGCGAGCGTGGTCGCTGCGAACGCTATGTCCGGGCGTGCGCTGTCCGCTATGTATCTTATTTCGCCTACTGCTTTGCCATATATCGTGGCAATGTCAGCTCGCTTTTCCTCTTCGTCGGTAGGCGGATCCATTTTTATGCCGTCGAGATATGGGGTGGTCCGCTTGTTGCATCCTGTCTGCGCTAGGAGTGTGACCACGCTGTCGATGTGCGACGGTTGGGAGATGTGTATTCCCTGAGTTGTGTACCTTATTTTCCAGTTGAGGTACGAGGTCGGGCGTCCCATTCTTTTCACTGTATATTTTTTTTGGAGTGTGTGGTACAGTGAGCCGATCATGGATTTTGTGGTGGCGATTGGTAAAAAGTCGTCCATGCTGATGCCAACTATCAGCGTGTCCTTCCCTTCTGTTTTCGTGAAGAAGGACGTGTCTGAGCGCATTTGTTTGTACCCGTGACTCTTGAGGTGTGCGTGCAGTTTGGTGCTGTATATGTTGGCGGCGGCGGGTCTGCCGTATACATTGCCTTTTAGTTGCCCGTGCGTGGCTGCGTGCTTGAAAGATCCGTCGAACCTCCTTGGTTGCCATACGAACACTTTCCGTTTGTGTTGGTATGCCTCGTGGAGGTACGCTCCCGATATGTCGAAATGTTCTATCTCCATGTTGCAGGACGCAGCGATGGCGAAAAGGGTGCGGATCGTACTTCTGTCAGCCATGTACGTCGCTGTCTTCTCCGGATCGTAATGAGTGTGTGGAGACATTCTGTCTCCGCGGATCGAGCACCGTGCTTTGTGTTTGGTGCCTGTGTGATCCCTCTTGTAACGATATGTCATCGTCGTCGGGATGATGTCCCGTCTGTTGGTGCTGTCTGTCTGCGATCGCCAGTCAATTGCCTTCATCTTGTCAAGCTGGTTGAGTTCGGTGTCGTGTGCGTCTGCCCATTTTTTGGCGTCTGGGTATTGGCGCGCTTGCTTGAGAGTTTTGGGAGGGGCAGTCGCGTTGGTGACAGTCTTCGGGATGCGTGCTGCTCTTTGCGATTTTTTCTTCGGCGTGCTCTGTGTTTTGTACACTGCCGTGGTGTTTTGGCAGGGATCTTGCTGCCGGTGGTAGGCTCTGAAGTCCGCTGCTCGCATTTTGCTGTACCTTCGGGTTTGAAGGTTTTGGACACAGATATGTGTCTCGTCCAGTGCGTACATGTATCTCACTTGTGATGCCTTGCTGTGGAGTTTTGGCATGTTGGGTTTGAGAATGGGGGTATATCCCAGTTGTCCGAACGCTATAATTTTTTTGAGCTGTGGCTTTTGCTGATACCACAGCGTGTGAGGGATTCCTTTTACCCCGTGGTGGTAAGTTATGTTGTATTTAAATACAGCATCGCTCAAGGCGTCTTGCCAGTACACGTCGTGGAGTTTGCTGTGTGCGAGCGTGGCTCTCACTTTATCCATGAGTGTGCGATTGATGCGCTCGGCGAGAGCGTTCTCCTGCGGCGTGTATGGCGTCGTCGGTCGGTATTGGATTCCTCTGTGTTCGAGCTGCTTCTGCACTTGTTTGGCGAGGTACTCTTTCGCGTTGTCCGTCACGAGTAGTCTCGGCTGCTCTCCATTTTCCGTTGCTATCCTATCGATGGCTTGGATGATTGTGTGTGGAACTTGTGCCCTATTGTGGAGGCAGAAAACCCATACATGTCTCGTGTTCGTATCTATGACTGTGAGAAAGTAGCGACAGTTATGTTGGGACGGGGGGTGTATTGGACCGCAGACATCCGAGGAGAGACTCTCTCCTCTTTCTGCGTGGTGTGCCGTGCGTTTGTGTGGCCTCCTGGCTGTTTTTCCGTGTATGCACCCGGTGCATGTCATTTGTGCACTGGTGTCTGGTAGGCCTTTTGGCATTCCAGGGAGTAATTGGTGTCGTGACATGTGAGCTATTGTCTTTGGGTAGGCGTGGTTGAGGCGGATGTGCCATTCAGCCATTTGCTGTGCTGCCTCTGTGGGGGTTTGTTGTCTCGACGGTGTGCTGGGTGTGTTTCGCAGTGTCGGTGTTTGGCGTCGCGTGGTGTTGAATGGTAATTGATCGCTGCGTCGCCGTGTGAGGGGGGATGTGTGATTGGGGGTGCCTGCATTTTTTTTGGGTGCTGGTTTGGCACGGGTTTTGCTGGGCGTTGTTTTACGGTTGTATGTCCTTGCTCCTTTGGCGGTTGCTTGTTTTTGGAGGCGGTACTGACCGTTTTGAAAATATGCGGTGATTTTTGCTGGTGGCAAGCGCGTCGGTTTGTGAAGTGTGTCTTTGGTTCTGGAGAACGTCACGTGTCCGTGCGCTGCCAGGTCGTGGACTGATAGCAAATTTTCTTTGATGCTCGGCGCATGCACGGCTGGTACTCGTACGCTATTCCTCTTCTGTGTGATCTTAATTGTGCCAGTGTGCGTGATTGGGACGCGTTGGCCGGTTGCCGTGGTGGTTAGTGTACCGTTGCTGGGTCTCATACACGCGTGGGGCGTAGCGGTATGAGTTGGATTTGCTCCGGAGTCGATGATGAATTTTTGCGTACCTTCGCTCGTGTCGTTGCGTGTTTGCAGTTGCTCTTCGATCGCGTGTAAACGATCATGCAACTGGTGCATGATGTTTGTTTCGTCAGTCTGTGTGTCGTCGTTGTTGTGCGCTGCTTGCGCTTGTGCGTGGGATTGTTTCTGTTTGTACCTACGCGTGTAGCAGTTTGTTGTTTCGTGGCTGATGCTGCCGTGGATCGTGCACCATGGACCATTGTATGCTGTAGGTTTTGTGTAGTGAGGTTTGTTGCTCACTTTCCGCCTGGGTTGCATTCTGGTTGCGCGTTTGTGCCGTGCTGGTGCTGTTTGGTGGGTGTGTATCTGGGTGTGCAATAGCTGGACTTGCTGCACATGGTTGATAAACCCGTTGATGGTGAGGGGTGGGTTTCCTGTCATGATGATGGCGAGTTGTCCCATGTCTGGGTGCTGTGCCATTCCCTGTATCATGTACCTCACTGTGGTGCGTTCCACATTGATGTTTGGGAATTGCGCTACTTGCATCCTGTATCGGATCTCTCTGTGTTTTTCAACATAGTCGTTGAGCTCCTGTCCCTGTTGGTATCTCGTGTTGCGAGCTTCTGCATCGAGGAGCTCGTGGTTTTCCGTCGACGATGTGTCCACTGTAGATCTTATGATGTGGCAGATCGTTTGAGGTTCGTAACGTAAGATGTGGGGTGGCAGGATTTTGATGACTTCGTTGGTGAGACTTTGCATTATGGCTTTCCTGATCATGTCCGCTTTCTGTTGTTCTGGCGGTGCGTCCGTGTTCGGCTCTGTGGTCGTGCTCGGTGGTGTGGTGAGAAGGTGTGCTGCCTTGATCGTGCGAGCGTAGATCTCAAGTGCGTCGTACCAGTAAGTGTGATTACTTGCTGTGAGTCGGGGTAGTTGACCCGGGGCCGATGCTTGGTGATCTGTCATTGTTCCGTGGATTTAGAGAGCTGGGGACGAGGGTTAGTGTGTTGCGCGGGGTGGTGTTGGTCTCGCGCGTTTGTCGCAGTTGGGATCGGGGATCGTATGGTGCGGATCGGTAGTCAGTGGTAGTGTGTGGTGCCCATAACCTGTGATGCCAAGAACTGGTCCGATGCCTCCGACCACCGTAGGTGGCGGAGGCGACGGCGACTTTATTCAGTTTGCTATGGTAGACCTAAATGGCTGTATGCCTTATCTGTGAGGGCTGCCTTATCTGGATGGAACCACATTTTGGCCCAATGCCCGCCGGTGGGCCCGGCCGGCCCTTCTGCGCCAGAACGGCCCAGAACGGCCGTGTGGTAACCACATAGACCTTGTACCCAAGGTCCAATTTGTGCTATTATTGTGCTCTTTGAAAAGAGCACACACCAAAAATCATCCACAAAATAACACCCTCCGCCGTGGATGGCGGAGGGTGTTATTTTGTGGATGATTTTGCTAGTCAAGTGTCTAGAGCTAGGCGCGCACACCATCGTCGTCATCCAGCCGTCCTACCCGCGCCGTCGTCTTCGGCGCCGCCGCCGCGCACCCCCGCCGCCACGCGCGCCGCCGCAAACACGCGCGCCGTCGTATACTGTACATCATCCCCTGCACACCCGCCCCGCCGCGTGCACCCCGCCCCCGCCGCCGACGTGACGAGACCTCCGCCCCCCAGCTCCTGCTTTCGCTATCCCTGCGCTTGCTTAGGCCCGTGCTGCGCCCCTTTCTCCCCCGTCTCTTCCCTCCCGTATGATCCCGGGCAACCTCTCCTGCCCTACTTCTGACTTCCCCTCCCCCTACCCCCCCTCCTGCCTCATCTGACCGCCCTACGCTCCGCCCTCTCCTTATGCTGCGCGTCCCCTCTTCCCCGCCTGCCCCCCTCTTCTTGACCAAGCCGCCCCCTCGGCCGACCCCAATGCCCTGCTCAAACGCCCCCCTCTCCATCTCCGCCATCTCTGCCACCCTCGCCTCGGCCCGCCGTCTCCGTACTCCCTCCTTCCCGTCCATCGCGGTCCGGCTCCCGCACCCCCCTCACCACCGTGAGTCAACCTTCCCTCTCGTCCGCTGCGACGCCCTCGTCCCAGCAGTCCACGCTCGCTCCCAGCCCGCCTTCCTCCTCCTCTCCCTCCCCTATCTCTCCCCTCCGTTTGCTACCTCCTTCTTTGCCCGTTCCGCGCCGCCCAGATCAACACGGCAAAATTCTACACAATACTCGTTGCTACACACGTATTGCCACGGGACAGAGATAATTCAGGGTTTACGTCTGGAAGAATTCTGCAATTTTCTTGTGAGATATCGTGGAAGCGGAGGGAAGCCGGATCAAACGTATCCAAAATCTCGACGCAGCTGCCAACCAAAGCGAACGCCACTTATCCATGCCCAAACGATACTGGTCAGCTAACAACGTATTTAGCAAGTCTCGTGGAGAACCAACACATATCTCTACGCACGTCCCAGAAAACATTTACAAGGGATGATGGGGTGTACTGGGGTCGGGGCATAGCATCAACAAAAAGAAACAAAAAATATAGCTAGTCATTGAGCTCACGGACATGACGTCAGGACGTCGCGTTTCCCAGACTACGTGCTAGACGAAAGCATGACTCGACGGTTGACGGAAGAAAGGGTCTCTTCGACAATGGAGGACACAACTCTACTGGCATCTTCCGCCCTTGTCGAATGCGCCATAGCCAGCGGAAGGACGTGGTTGTCTGGCGAGGTTGAGGAGCGAAGGAGGTGCGTGGGACAGTGCAACACCAATCAATGACCCATCGGACGAGGTAAACGACGTTGACAAATACGAGCATTCACAAGGCGAGAAAGGAGTAGTTGGATCCCCACGGTACCTCGTGATTGGGGTCTGCAGTCGGCAGGGCTTGAAGGCTTGGCGGTGCGGGTAAGGGCAGCAGCATGGCTTCGGACGAGTGTGCGGTAAGCTAGAGTGTGAGGGTTGAGACGAGGAGAAAGCAGGTGCGGGCGAGGCGACGGGACGTGGAGTTAGTGCAGTCGAACATGGCAAACAAGGGTGGTGTTCAGTGGATGGATGGTGCTTGTTGTCGGTTGAGGTTGGACCAGTTGTATCGAGGGCGGTGAGGATGGCAGAGTGGAGACGGAAAAGAAGGAAGGAACTACATTGCTCCGGGTTTAAATAGGGGGGTGTGTGAGGTGAGTGAGGTGAGGTGGGGTGGGCCGGTGAAGGCGAGAATGAAGGCGAGAAGGGAGGTAGGCGAGAAGGGAGAGCGGGTACTAATTGGCGAAATGACCGTGGCACGGGTTGCCAGCAATGCGATTTGTTCAGGCGTAGATGCGCAGATGCGCAGTACCCTTGGTACTGTGTGAGCAACCCAGGAAAATTTAGGACAAAGTAGGGTTGCGAAAACGAAGGTAAACCTCACCTTGCTGTTTGGGAGCGATCTAGTTACATTCTCCCGTCTGAGTGACAGGGGCTCGTTCTCATAATATGATATTCATATTATGAAGACAGCTCTTTTTTTGCAAAAATATATAAATTAAATTGAACATTCAAAAAGTCACCTTGAGCACTATTTCCTTAACGTGCTTGTTTTCGGCAATAGCATCTTGCAGAACACCGGGATTGCAGCTTTGAATGCGCGTAAAGCTTAAGAATATAAATGCAGATTGAGCACCAAGTTGCCTTTTTCAACTGGTGTTTTTGGTTTCCAAGCTATTTTACATGCGGTTTTAGGGTGGTTTAAAAAGGCTTCTTTTCCAGACATATCTAAACACAAACAGGAAGAACAAGCAATTCTCACCAAGTTCTTTCTGGTCCCAAGTCAGAATTCAAGTACGGTGGAGCGGGTATCATTTTCTTTCTTGTCAGGGAAGTCAAGAATAAAATAGGTCGAATACTGTCCTCGTCCTCATATGAGGACAAATGTCCTCACATGAGGACAGTGGTCCGATAGACACTAGCCTAACAAGGCGACCCTCCCCCCTGGAATACAGAAGACGGGTTCGTGGAAACGGAAGGAAGCCGGATCAAACGCATCCAAAATCTTGACGCAGCTGCCAAACAAAGCGAACGCCATTTATCCATGCCCAAACGATGCTGGTCAGCTGACATCGTATTTTAGCAAATCTTGTGGAAAACCGATACAAAACTCGATGCACGTCCAAGAAAACATTTTCAAACCAAATGTGTGTGCCGAGGTCGGGGCATTGCATCAAGAAATTGAAACAAAAAAATAGACCTACACATTCAGCTCACAGACATGACGTCTGAACGTCTCGTTGCCTAGACTGTGCTCGACGGAAGTGACTCGGCGTTTGACGGAAGAAATGGTCTCTTCTAAAGTGAAGGACACACCTCTACTTGCATCCTCCGCCTCTGTCAAATGCGCCATATGCAGCGGAAGGTTATGGTTGTCTGGCGAGGTCGAGGAGCGAAGGAGGTCTGTGGGACAATTGCAACAACAATCAATGACCCATCGGACGAGGTAGATGACGTTGACAATTACGAACATACACAAGGCGAGAAAGGAATAGTTCGATTGCCACGGTAGCTCGTGATTGGGGTCGGCCGTCGGCAGGGCTGGAAGGTTAGGCGGTGCGGGTGAGGGTAACGGCATGGCTTCGGACGAGTGTGCGGTGAGCGAGAGTGTTAGAGTTGCGGCAAGGAGAAAACCGGAGCGGACGAGGCAACGGGACGTGGAGTTAGTGCAGTCGATCATGGCAAACAAGGGTGGTGTTCAGTCAGTGGGTCGTGCTGGTTATCGGTTGACGTTGGACCAGATATATCGAGGACGATGAAGATGACCGACTGAAGACTGAAAAGAAGGAAGGAACTACATTGCTCCGGGTGATTTAAATAGGACGAGTGGGACGAGTGATTTTGGGTGGGACTTGTGATTCGGGTGGGAGTGGGGAAAGGGGAGTGGGGAAAGGGGGTTGTGTCGGCAGGGGGGCGGAATGTGTCGTCGGGGGGCTGAATGTGTCGTCGGGGGGCTGAATGTGTCGTCGGGGGGCTGAATGTGTCGTCGGGGGGCTGAATGTGTCGAAGGGGGGTCCTCCTAATGCATGGCCATTGTTTCGCCCGCAGCACTTCTGCCCCTCTGCTGAGGGTTTAACCCCACCCTCGTCAAACAAGCTCTTTTGCATAACATTACGTTTGTCCCCGTTTTAATCCTGGCTGTCACGGTGCGTGTGTATGCGCCATGTGACCACCCCACGAGGGTGGGGTAAAACACTTGCAGGTGTGAGTTCACACCTGGTTCCAGATGCGCTCCCTAAACTTCTGGAAGTTTAGACGGGCTGCGTCGGGACATCCGTCAGCACAGTCGGTGCCAACGTGCCAACCCTCAAAAATACAGCAATTCCCTGTGGTATGATAAAATCATACCATGATACTATCATCCCATTCCCATCGGCAGGCTCGTGCGAGCCAATGCCCTGCGAGCCGTTACATTCTCATCCCATGTGGAACACATTCCGTCATTCGGAGAATGGCTCACTACTCCACACTCACCGCATTTTCCATCATCAATATCCGCTGCCCTGTTGGGGGTTAGTGGTCATATGTGACCACTAAAGAAACATCGACTTTTAATCACATTTTCAGGAAAAGCCCCGTCTTGGTAAATGTTGGAGATTCAAATGCGAGTATTTCATTGTTCTGGCCGTATTTTTAAGTAGCGAAATCGTGAAGATGACCGACTGAAGACTGAAAAAAAGGAAGCAACTACATTGCTCCGGGTTTAAATATGCGCGGAGTGGAGGTGAGGGAGGGTCTTAACTTGCCCGAGTTTGCTTTGCTTGCCCGAGTTTGCCGGTCATTTATTAATTTTTTAATGTAAGTACACGCCTTCCCCTTACGTTAGTAGTGGACAGGTGTCCTTTCCCTTACGTTAGTAGTGGACAGGTGTCCCAGAGCGACGATGCTGAGTTACAGAGGCATACAGCGCCATAAATTGCCAGAACACAACGGGGAGGACACTGTGGGTTCTACAAATTCGCTCCGAGGACGCATCGACAGGGACGTGACATGCTGCAGCGTCAAACAACTTCGCCCCAGGGACGCGTCGACATGGACGCGAGACGCTGCAGCGTCGCTCGCTTCCGACCCAGAACGTGGCCATTGCGGGTGATCCCGGATCACCGGGATAAATAACTGATCTCACCCCTACTTCTCTCCTTACTCCGCGGGATAGCGTATCTATCGCCGGCGCTGTGTGGTCAAAAAACGGATCTACAACCACTGCCCAGTATCGCCGTTCGCCTCCCCTCCTTTCTTCTCAATCTAATCAATCCTACGCAATGCACGGCAATAGAATCATCACTGCTACGACTGCACTAACCGCAACCGCAGCTCTATTCTCCCTCCTTTCATTGCACCGAGCTATTTCAAACTATCCTCCACCCCGAAAATTCACAAAGCCCTTAGATCTCCGACGGGGATGGACCTTTGTCAGAGCCAACAGGATTTTTAACGACAAAGAATTCAGTCGTACATACCGTATGAAGGGGGGGATAATATTTGGTCAGAAGCGCCCGCCGCAGACGAGGAAGCAATAGTGAGAGACTTTGCGTTGGTGGCCCCTGTCTTCCGAATGGTGGGAGTCGGAGAGATGCGCCAGAGGCGCGGAGAACGGCGCACGTGGCATTGAGGTGTGGAAGCCATTTTCAGGAAAGTAGTAGGCAGAGAGGTGCTTCGTAGAGTTGGGTTGTCTTTGCGAGATGGCAGGTGCATAGATTTTTGCAAAGGGGGAGTTGAGGATGTTTTCGGGAAGGGGCAAGCACTGCGTCCACCGGAGCACAGCGTCCAAATTCGAAAGTTACAAACTTACAAAAGTAGCCAATATATGATTGACATTTGTCATTACACACTGACATAACTTCAGCTTGCAGTGTAGGGTCGTACTTAGTTTCAAATCATATATTAACGCCCAGTAGCCAATAGTAGTGCAAATCATGGCTCGGGGCAAGCAAACCCGGGCAAACTCGGGCAAGTTAAGACCCTCCCTGAGGTGAGGGGTTGGTGAGTTGCGGCAACGGTTTTTACCACAGTTCACTACAGCCCGTGTTGGCAGCAATGGGATTCGTTCAGTAAGCCCAGGATCACGCCTTCGCGTTCCTCTACCCGCCCTACTCCTCCCCCATCGCCTCCAACCAACCCTCAGACTAACCCTCAGACCAACCGCCAGACCAACCCCCCCCCCCCCCGGGGGGGGGGG